AATTTCTTCCAAAATCCTGGATCCCTTAATGAGTCCTGCGACGCAAAATCTACTGAATGTCACCTGGCACCTCGGGACGTCTTGGATGCCCATCTTGCCAGCCCTTGATCTCTGCAAGAAGGTTCCTGAAGGGGTCGCTTCCAAAAGCAGCAACCCGCTGCCGCCAAAGAAACTCTGCCAAAACCTCACCGTAAGCCTTCTTGCTGATCTTCCTGTAGCGTCGCTGCTGCAGATACTGCTTGAGACGCCCGAACAGCCCCTCCACAGCGTTAGTTGTAACATTGACGTCTTCACCAAAAATTCTTTCCACGCGGGTAAACTCTCCCTTCCTGTGGTTCACCGCCCTGTGCACATAGTTGCTGTTCCTGCGAGACAAGAAATTGTAAGACTTGTGCCGGTCAGTGAAAACTAAGGAATCTGGAGTCACATGCTGCTCAATTTCACGCTTCAGTGTAACCTGTTTGCGGTTCGGTATCTGGATGAGAACGCAAGCACCCGTCGCCGCGCGTAGCCAGCTCCAAGAACCCCATGATAATGGTTTGATGGCCTTGTGTGGTTCTCCCAAAAGACCTTTGTTCTTCTTTTTCTTCGTGAAGAACGTTTCATCTATGACAACCACACGTCCTGGACCACCCAGAGGAACACGGCCAGCATGTTCCTGAAGCACCAACCACAAGAGGTCTCTGACACATGAGCGGATTTGATTCCAAATCTTGATTTTGAGACCAGTCTCTTTCAAAATCTGCTTCTGCGGGGCATCTGAGCAGAACCAGTACAAAGCCTGGAGGTAATCGCACGGTGTTACCGAAGGAGGCAAATAGCATGGCAAAAATCCGTAGTCTCGCCAAGATTTCTTGTAGTTGCAGCGCTTGTGGACAGGTGCTTTGAGATCTGCTTCCTCGTCGTCATCTTCGAAAGGAAACACTGCATCGAGCTTCGCTGTGCAACGCAGGTGGATATAGGAACCGCGACGGTCTCGCGCTAGACTTTTTTGATGAGGACATGCAGGGTTTCAGCTGGCGACAGTTCGCTTTGTGCAACCTCGAACTGGCCTGCGGCTGCACAGCATTCGTAACGCTGATGTGGCTGGCTCTGCAGTCTGACATGGAAAACTCCGATGCGCCGCTTGCTGGAGCTGTTCTTGGAGACTGGGTCGATGGGTCGAGCCTTCGCGGAACTGGGGAAAGTCACCTCGCTTGATGTCGACCCAAAAGCCAAGACCATCTGCGCCGACATCTGTACCTGGGAGCCGCTGCTCACATTCGCCCCGGGCCACTTTGACATGATCTGGACTTTCCCCGTTTGCACCGAACACAGGAGAGTCTTGACTCGCAGGCCCAGGCGCCTCGAAGAGGGCTCGAAGAGGGCGACCGTCTGGTGCAGCGAACCGCCCTCGCTTCTGAGCTTTGGAGAATCCAGCCACAGGGCTCCTAAAGCTCCGTCCCTTCA